TCAGCCGTTTTTATTCTATTCAGTCCTTCTAGTGATTGGGTGAGGCACGCCTTCGTTAGGGAGGGCCATCTACTTTACTCAGTCTAAGGATTCAAATGTTAATCTCCTCTAGAAACACCCAGAATAATGTGTGACCAAATGTATGGACACTCATGGTCCAGTCAAGCTGACACCTAAGAGGAACCATCACAATATAGTGATAATAATACTGTCGTAATTCTGGACAGTCACTAAGGGCGGAGACTGATCCGGGAGGCAGCGTGGAACCAAGAATTTCTCCATCCACCCTATTTCAGCAGACCTTGGACACGAATCTGACTTGTGGTCCTCCGAAGCCTCACTGAGAAATGCTGTCTAGTCTGGGCACCCCCTCCAAGCCAGACCTGCCTCCTGGTAACAAAGGAGGAGCTGAGGCCACAACCGTAACTCCTTCTCTGGAAGGCACCTCCACCAGCCGGGGCATCGGGAAGCAGGTGTGGGAGAGCACAGTTGCCCACCAGCCGCCACAAAGCTTGGGCTGAACAGGCTGCCTCACCAGGTAATCCATGTAATCCCGGTGATAATCCAGGAATTATCAACCAGACTCCTCAAGGGAGCCATTTTATACCAGAGGAGGGTCTTCCTCCAGATTCCCAGAGCATCCAGCAAAAACTGTTTCCGCAAGTCAACAATGACCCTAGTGGTCTAGTGGTCTCCCTTTTCAATCTTGGCTCCTCTGGCTTACATGCAAATTCTCAAACTTCAGTTGAATTATTATTTTAAACTTCAGATTCCTAGACCCCACCCTCCAAGATCTGTATTCAACAGGTCTCAGCTGTGGCCCAGGAGTCTGCATGCTTTCCCAGGAACCCACGATTCCTAGGAGAAGCGTTGCTTTGGCCTTAGCAGACCTGGGAAATGACCAACATTCTTTTCCATGGAGTGACATCCTACAGAGCCCAGAAATATGTTAAATTCTCCCCTGTCCTCATACATGCTACACAAAAGGCTTGTAGGATTCCATTTATACAAAGTTCTAGAACAGGCACAATTAACCTACAGTGACAGAATCAGTGGCTTCCTGGGAACAGGTACAGAGGTAACTTTCTGGAGAGGCAGAAATGCTCTATAATTTAAAAAAAATTTTTTTTCAAATGTGTTGTGATTTTATCTATTTGTTTATTTTAGGGGGGGAGGTATACCTATTTATTTTTAGAGGAGGTGCTGGGGTTTGCACTCAGGGCCCTGTGTATGCTAAGCATGTGCTCTACCACTTGAGCTATACGCTCCCCCACTTATAACTTAATTTGGTGGTGGTTACTCTGTGTATAAATTTGTTACAAGTCATCAACCTATGCACTTAAAATGTGTGAATTTTACTGTGTGTAAATTATACCTCAGTGAAGTGATTTTGAAAAGATATCATGTGTCAGAAAAATATTTCTGATACTTAAACACATTGTGTTTACATAGTGTCACGTATGATTCCATCTGTGACAGCACGTGTATGACTCATTACTTCCTGTGTGCGTTTGGTGCTGCGTGCCAGCGACAAGTCAGTATCTTATCTGTATGTCACACAGCCTCCCGCCTTATATAGTAAGACCAGGCTCAGGCCTTTGTGCAGAATTCCGGGAAGAGAACTGCAGTGAAAAGTCCCACCTTCAGGAAACTCCGTTTTTAGGAAATTCCTGCATCCTCTATCCCCCTACCCCACACTAGCTTCCTCTGCACGCGCGCGCGCACACACACACACACACACACGTGTGCGAGCGTGTGCTTCTTCCCCATTGAAAAGGAAATGCTCTGTGACCCTGAGACCCCTCAGAAGTCAGCAGGGGCCAGCAGATCACACCTCAAGAAGCTCACATTTAACTGCACCACTACCTCCCCAGAGCCCCCAGAGGTCAAGAGGAAACTCCACAGGGACGAAATCATGGCTTTGACTTCAGAAACCAGAAGAGCTCTGAATGTGTGTGACCTGAGGACAAAGGAGGCCAGTGCATCCCAAAAGGCCTCCAACAGAAAGCCCTCCAGACTGGCGGGTCCTGGGTTCTAGTCCCTGCTCTGCCAGCTGACTCCCAGGGTCACCCTGGGCAACCGTGACCCCTCTTGGGGCCTCAGTTTATTTGTCTGTAAAATGTTGGACTAGTTGGACATTAACCACTTGTTATCATTGTTTCACTCAAGATCCTTTCTGCAAATGAAATCCCATGCAGAGCCCCAGTAAGAAAAAAAGAGGGTATTGTTGCCCCCAAGCCGGCCTCTGTACCCCGATGGCCAAACTGAGACTCGGAGGGAGAGTAAAGTTTGTGGAGAATTATAAAAGAGCAGCTTTATTGCTTTGCCAGACAAAGGGGAGTCAGAGCAGGCCCATGCCTCAGAGACTGTGGACCCATCTTGGGGTTGGTGTCCTGAGGTTTTATAGAAAAAAACAGATGGAACCAAAAGGCAACAACGATCAGGGTGTTTTCCAGGGTGCTACATTCTTAACCTTGATGAATCCAGCTGGCATCACGGAGAAACTCTGGAGGGTCTGTTCATTCTTCTGAGGCTGTCAGCCCGTGACCACTTTTCTGGAATACGGCTTCTGGGTTAAAGGATTAGCCATTCTGGGCGCACAACGTATAGGGAGTGGGAGTGGAGAGTGTAGCAAGTGAAACAGAGATGTGGGTTTGTCAGAGAAAAGAGAAAAACAAGTTGCAAGAATTTTAGGTCCGACTGAATCAGCAAAACGGTTTTAGCATCAGGGAATCCATTTTGTTAAATAGTTTCCCCCTCGTTCAGTATCTGTGATTGAAATGGGGCTCAGGGGCCCATGCCCCTTGTCTGAGGACCCCCCGAGGATCTTGAGAACTGTTTGAAAACTGCTAGGCCAGCTGAATTCCCAACCCACGCAGCTGAACCGACCTCGTGGAAATTCCCTGTGACCTCAGTGACCCAACTCCAGCCGTGACCTCAGCATCAGCCCCTGACCTCACGTAACCTGAGTCAGGGGGCCCGGTACTCCAAATGGCCCAAGTCCAGCCACCGAGACCTCAGGATGATTCCCAGGACCTGTGACCGCACACCATCAGACCCAGGGAACCCCAGCGTGAGGCAATTCTAACCACATTGTGAGTGGAATGCAATTCTTCTATTATTCAGACTGTACCGCCCCTCGTTGTTTAAGGAAGTTCTCAGTTCTCCTCCCACCCCTCAATCTGCCCTCCCTGTGAATTCAGAAGCACCTGTAAGTTAACTCTAAATTTAAACAGCACATCTAGAGTAAGTAAAGTCCACATCTAACCTGAGATAATTACGGCTCCTTCTCCTTTAAGACTCTGACCCACGGGAGACGCTGTCCTCATCACTCCGGAGTACCCATCAAGACTGTGTGCCAGGGATGGTGTATACACTGTACACAGATCACATCTGACCCTCACCACGCCTGTGAGGTGGGCACTGTTAACCCATTACACAGCTGAGCAAAACTGAGACTGAGTCACCCAGAGGCGGAGCCAGGGCTCTCAGATAGGCTGTGGTTACCTGTTTCCTCAGCTGTAAAACAGGATGACAAGAATACACTCACAGGTTGCTAGAGTGATTGACAGTCCATGGAAAAGGCCTCAGCAGAGCACTGAGGGCCAGCGGTACCACAAAAAAGGCTGGCTCCAAATATTTGTGTTTCAGACACTGCTTCCTAAAGCCACGGACACCAGACAGTCTTCTACAGAAAATAGGGTTTATTTTCACATTTGAGGTGAACACCAATCAGTGTTCCAGAAGTGTACATAATCAGTAGATTTAATTTGTTAAACACAACAGAGAAACATCAAAGCCCACCAGGAAATACACTTTGACTTCCTTCCAGAGCACGTGGCACTTACAGGTCATTTCTGTTTTCAGCTTGGGAATTCACATTGACGAGGCACAGCTCGCAGGGGGTCTGTTCCCAGGGTCAGCTGCTTCCACCCCGAGGGACTCCCCCCAGACAAGAGCAACAAACCAGCGGATTCACAGTGGCTGGGGTATAAGGTCTTGGCCGTGGGACCTTCACAAAAGCCCGGATTGTGCTCCAAAGGCAAGCTCTGAGGGTCTGTGGCTGGTACCACCAACTCAGGTCTCACCACGGCCTGGAGTAGTTAGTGTCACAGCTTTGGCTCTCGGCACTCTTCTTAGTTAAATTATTCCAATTAGGAAGATGACATTAAACAGATATTCCAGCCCTTTCCAGCAACCAGCTTCCCCCCTCGGTCAGAGAAAAGGCAGAAACTGCCCTCAAAGCTAACCTATCACCACCTCTGACGTCCAAGGCACAGGTGAGTTTGGGCAGGGTGATCACAGGCAATGCCTGATGAGGTGTG